CGCGCGATATTCAGCAGTTTCCAATCGCATGCGGTACGGACCGCGTGCTTTCCGATGTAGTGTATTTGCACTGAAACGGTGTGTCGATAGTGGGAGTGCGCGCAAAAAATTGTACGCCAGACTCTGTATCGAGAGACTAAGAGAACTCGCGACTCGCATAAGCGGAATGTATCGATCAGACGAAAAGCTCGCCGCATATTTGAAAAGCTTGCACTGCTGAATGTATTTGGAGCCTCGAGCTGCTCCGGCTTTGGAAAACTTTGCTCTGCGGCTGCGGTCCAGGCCGATGCTTTTAACGTAAGTCATAACTTTTCTCGCGACTCGTACACAGTTTGTTTAATAAAGCGAATAAGATATAAGAAAACGTGTGTGTGACAATTGTACGTCGACGGACCAATCTCACTCTCTTTCTTTCTCTCTTCGACAAAGAGCTAGGCCGAGATGTGCACGAGCGCCCCGACACACTACAGCACACGAGTATTAAGCTCGCGAGTGTTAAATATCAATCAGCAGCTCTGGCGATCGAATTTATTTTTACTTTGCATCCATATACCTATGTGTGTATGTGTAGGCGTATACGCGAGAGATCGTGCGCTGCTGCACACGCTGTGCCGGACTCTCGCAAACTCGCAATCTGAAGAGCTATATCGCATCATATTTAGCACTGCATGTATACGTATACACGTCTCGAGTATTAGAATCGTTTTACTTGCGAGTTCTTATCTCACAGCTCATCGCAGCTCTGTATAGACTTCCAATACTCCGTGTCGGAAGTTCTGTTTACGTTTCCTCTATACTGACGTGTGCACGTCTATGTATATGTATGTATGTGTGTGTATGTGTTAGCTGTATACACAAACTCCATTCGGTTTAATAAGGACGTCTGCTGCACGATACGCGTAGCAACTGTAGCAACCCAGGCCGTTATGAATGACACTATCGTAGACCTATTGTGCTTCTGCGCCCAGTGCTTGGTTTTGCGTTCCAAATTAATCTTCTAAAACTACCTTTATACTATACTATACTTTCAAAAACGTACATTTATTTATCGCATAAAAATGCATCGTTCCATTCATCTCTGTAAAATAGTTGGCCCTTCGCGAGAGAAAACTTGAAAAAAAAACAGCCCTTTAGAATTTTACTCGACGCGTATATCAACAATACGAATAATACGTCTTGGAAGGTTTTTTCTAACGTCGGTAGTGTGAGTCCATCTCAACAAACAAACAAACAAACAAACAAATATCTATCTCTCTTCGAACTTGATACAGCGTAGCGCGCCAACTTTTCCCGGCGTCGTTGTTGTCGTCCAAGTCTACGTCTACGTGTCTCGACTTGCATCCGCGTGCTGTTGCTCCCGATCCCTCCGATTTTCCGAATAAAAGAAAGAGAGAATTTGCAGCTGAAGCAAGGCAAAGCTTTCATATTTGTGCTATGAGTGAGAGTAACAAGGATGGCTATATCTTTTTTCTCGATGAACCATGGTAAAACTCCCCAACTATACTGCACAGATAGTGTAGTGGTGCTATACGCTCCTTGAGGAAAAAGAGACACAGAAGTATATGGTGATTACGCTTTCTTTTGTATTGTTGTACCCGGCGACGTCCCTTTTTTACTCTCGTTTCGCTGATCATCTCTCTCCATCTCTCTCTAGCTTCCCCTTCTTTGCATACAGAAAAGCTCAAGCGCGAACAACAAAGATCTACGCGTGCCTTGATAAAAAGGAAAAAAAATAAACTCGCGCGTGCGACTTTAATGACGCCAAAGTTTGTCGTTTAGAGTCTTGAAAATGAATCGTTAAAATGAATTTAGAATAGTTTAGCGTCAGAAAAAATCTCTGCATATACGATTTTACGTTTCGCGTATCTTCATGCACCGACGGCAGAATCGCAACGCCGATGCTGCAGCAATGATTTTCCTAATTATTTGCGTAAAACACGATTACTTAAATTCGAGTTAGAACATACGTCCGTAGCAGCAGCAGTTACTCACGCACAAAGACTAACGAGGTTCGTTAATTAATTTCAATTAGTCCACAGGCGTTCAAGTTGTTCGTTTATTCTTTTCAATTATGTTAGCATCCTTTTTATTTCGCGCCATGTGCTTTTTTGTGACTAGAAAGCAAGCTTACCTTGCCATGACATAATCTATTTTCAATACCACCAATATGAGCTTTTTTGATGGACACGTCGCGCACATGACTTGGACAAATTTCGTCTTAATGTACCTAAGTGTATCATTCTTTTATAGCTTTGCAAAGAAGTAATTAATTTACGATGTATGTCTTCGATGGCTATTGAATTCGGCTTTTATATGTGTCGATCAAGGCTCTAGCGTCATTATGGCCATCGACCTCGTCTTTATTGTACCTCTCGGCACTAATAAAAGATCGAATCGGCGCCTCCATGCAGGGACATGTGACGAAAGTAAAGGAAAAGCAAGTTTATAACTAACGCTGCGAGTACGAACTTTTTTGATTATTCATTTGTGTAAGCATATGTATAGGAAAATCAGAGCTTTCGATCGTTAAATTCAAGTAACTTTTGTGAATCGAAGACGACTATTCGAGTTTCCTTTTGTTGAAGTTTCGCTACTGCTGCTGCTCTTGCTGTGCTGTTTGATTACAGCCCCGCTTCCGTGTACATGTACGTGTGTATACGCGCGAATTGCTCTCTCAGTTGGAGAAGACGCGCGAGAAGCTTGAGTTTAAGTGCTTTTCACGCCGGGATAGTGCTTAGGACTGCTACTGGTCTGTGAGAGTGTGTCTACTCGTCTGGACTATTGGTGTGTGTGGTTATGTGTGTTTTTCTGTTTTTACATCTGTACAGGGCATACGCCACGCGTGCACAACTTCGTGTGTGAATGACACATCTCTCTCTCTCTCTCTCTCTTTCTCTCTGTACATGTTCTATATGGTACATGCTCAGCTATCTTCAACCTCTTGTTCACGCACACCATCTGTATTATAAGTATACAAATTCTACGTTAAGATTTTAACAGATTTCAGTGGGTATTTACGTATGATTAATGAAGGATTGATGATGCACTAGTTTCTGTTTGAATCGGAAATCATATAATATAATTCAATACAATCCAAGACGTTTGACTAAAATTAAATCAGTTGTCATCGGCGACGATGTTTTTAAAAGATAATTTCTCGTATTTTAACCCATTAACGACCAAAATGCTTGACTTTTTTTGTTAGTTTTCGCAGCGATTTTTTTGTAGTTTTCGCCCTTAAAAAAATTTCGCACGGACCTATTTCGATGTAAAATTTAATGCCCTTTCAGAAACTGAGCTCAAAGTTTTGGTTTTTTGCGTAATAAAAAAGTGATTGCTACTTAAACAAAAAAAAAACGTTAACATTTTTGCAAAAAACCCAATTTTTCGATTTTTTTAGCCATGTTACCGCTAAAGAATCATGATATAAATATGATCAGGGGTGATCACGACTATCAAAGTATCTCTGGGAATTTTTATGGCATTTTACAACCATTCCTTCAACAAAAGTTAACTCATATTCATATAAAACATAACTCATTTTTCACTCGAAAACGATTGAGTTTAGAGGAAAAGTGCACAAAACAAAAATTGGAAAAGTGGTTCGAAAATTCCATAAAAATTCCCAAAGATACTTTGATAGTCGTGACCACCCCACATCATATTTATATCGTGATTCCTTAGCGGTAACATGGCTAAAAAAATTGAAAAACTGGTTTTTTGCAAAAATTTTTCCTTTTTTTTTGTTTAAGTAGCTCACATTTTTATTACGCAAAAAATCAAAATTTTAAGCTCAGTTTCTGAAAGGGCATTAAGTTTTACATCGAAATAGGTCCTTGCGAAATTTTTCTAAGGCCGAACACCACAAAAAAAATCGCAGCGAAAATTAACAAAAAAAATCAAGCATTTTGGTCGTTAATGGGTTAATTTGAATCGATTATCGACCTTATTTCTCTCAACTATTACTTACACACTCGCAGAAACACGTATATAATTTTGGCGAATCTCGGAAAATTTCCTCTTTATTGCGAACCGAACAATGACATTCATACTTGAAAAGAGTGAAATTTCTCAAATGTTTACCCCTTAGTCTGTGTGTCTGTTATACATTTTTGCATTTACTATAGAAAAGAGTATTCTAAATGCAAAAAAGAAACCGAGAGCAAAAGAGGAGTAGATGGAAGTTTATATTCGAGAAAGAAAAAGAGGAAGAACGGACACAGAGATATGCGTCAAGTTTATATGTATATAATAGGCAAATATATTCAAATCTTTCGTGAAAAAAAGAGAGAAAAGCTTTTCGCTCTATAAAAAAGTGCACGTGTATAGGTATGAAACCATATCTTAAAAGTATGTTTTTTACAGAAAGCTCTCATCTCATTGTAGTTCAGCCATCATTGACGTTACACTTTTCTATTTTCCGAGCTCCGTTTGTACATTCAATGCGATATTCTCGAAAAGCTCGAAAGCTTTGTTCTTTGAATTTTTTCGATGCTCTCAAACTACTGCCTCAATAAACTCAAACTACTCGTGATTTGCATCTTACCCGTTAAATTATAACAGTATTAATCGGCTCAATAGAGTTACGCATAGATATTTATGAATGTCCGTATATGCACTTAAACATATTATGGGCACGAGCAACTAATAAATTATTGATTGTCCATTACTGACAGAATGACAAGGCAAAGTAGTGCGCGTTCTATTTGTCAACGCTTTGCACAACGCGTAATAAAGTTTCAGAACAATAGCGCATACGAATTCGAAACTCGGCTCTCGAGATACACGTCGTAGCATGGAGTTTTGCGCCCATTGTGCGTATCTCTCAGCGCTATGATTTGCTCCATATAGCTCTTCGTTTTAAAGTAGATTCATTCGCGGCTTGACATGTCTATTAAAGCAGGCACGCGCTTAGTAATTTGATTGCCCGTTTACACGCTCACGCTCAGCTGCGTAAAGTAAGCTAATGACACGTTTTCTTGTTTTTTTTTTCTGTACAGATCCAAGTGATAGAAAGTGACAATAATTATCAGGATGGAGAACGGACAGCAGCAGCGTCCTCCGGGTGGCGGCGGTGGACTGCAGATAACGAAGATGGACATTTTGCGCGCCTCGGAGGTACTGCCGCTACTGCAGGAGCGTCTGGCCATACTGCCGGGAGGTCGCGATCGCCGTGGCGGCCTGCTCTTGCTGTTCCCGTCCTCTGCCAGACGAGAGCGTGCCAAACCCGAGGACTACAGGCGACTGTTGCAGTACCTCACAGCAATACCTACAGACGAAGACCGAAATCTCAGGTTCACCGTCGTTGTCGATATGCGAGGTGCTACCTGGGACATCGTCAAGCCCATTTTCAAGGTATGCATATTAGTGCGTTGGAAAAATTTCCTTTTTCACGTCCACTAATGTTCGCGCTCAGTTTTTCATCGAACAGCATTCCGTCACGCGCTTCACGTGCTGAAAATCCGAAACGATGAAAAGGAGAACACGAAAGAGCGGCGTTTGTTTATGTTTCGTTTGCGTCACGATGTCAAAAAAAGCTCTAAATTGTTTTCTAACGCACGCTAAAACTACGTCAAAAATTTCCAATGAAAAAATACAAGTCATCAGATCTATTTTTTAATTTGTTCGCACAAGTAGCAACATTTGGCGCGGATAATGTAGACTAATAAAATTCGATTCGGACGATCACATCGAAGCTCGAGCGCGGCACACAACACTTATACACGAAGACATTAGCAAAATCAGCTCTCATATTTATAATCGGCAGTTATATTAGGATATAATATATCTCTCGGTAGCAGCTCGTGCTCCTCTTTCTCTCTTTCTCGCAAAGAAAGTAAATAGGGTAGGAGCGAAGAGAAGGTGCGTATTTTTAGTTCAAGAGAAGTGGGCAGAAAGCGGCGCGTGAAAAGTTCTTTGCAATTTTAGAACACTTCCATTACACATTCGAGGTAGCAAGAGAAACGCAACGAGGCGCGCATCTACTTTACTGCCTCTGCTAAAGCAAAGGTATACAGTATGGAGCCTTCCGAACGTTTGCATTTCAATCTGCTCCTTGCTTTGCGAGCGTATCTCGGCTCTGTGCTCTGTTTTCGCGCGGGCAACGTGCAGACGACTTTGCGCAACGACGCCCCTTTATATACTCGCTCATTATATAGATGTATAGATATACATGGAAGACAGATTTAATTAAGCTCAACGCGTTTGTCGTTGTTTCTGCGACTGTTTCAGGTACTGCACGACCACTTCCACCACTCGGTCTACGTGGCCTTCCTCATCAAGCCCGAGAACTTTTGGCAGAAACAAAGGACCTCCTTGGCCAAACAGAAGAAGTACAATTTCGAGGTACTTGACGAAACAATCAATCTTATACTGGTGCACTCGCATGTCTATGCAAACGTACAATGTACGTAGGTCCGACTGCGTACCTAGCGTGTAATGTATACAACGACACAAAGACGCGCGCGCGGGGCTATCTGGCTTCGGACGACGTCGTATACTTCGTTGCGATGGCCTAGTTTACGAGCCGCGAAGCTGGAGAATCTCGTCTATCAACGGTGTACCGTATGCTCGACTCCCCCCGACTGCATCGCATACTGCACACACGTATCGCTCTGTGCATCTTCTCTTTCTCTCTCTTTCGCTCAAGCGCGTTCGCCAATCAATCAACGTTGGCCAGGCGCGCGCCCAAAGCCGATCGTATGCATAAAGTACGACGCACGTGTATATCGATACTTTTTTTCTCTCTATCATTCTCTTCAATTTGAGCGCGATCAAAGACGTTTGACGATGATGGGCACGTGTGTGTTTGTGTTTGTATCGCTCGGCTTTTGTCCATCGAGTTTCAGTCGGACGATATTTTTTTACGTAAAATATTGCGCTTTCTGCTTTTCACTGGCTGTTCCGCGCGTGCACGAGACTAAAATATATGAAATTTCGCTCGACGTATACTTTACCGCGCGCCAAATTGTCTCTCGTCGACAATAACGATGAATTAATAAATTCTTAAACGCATTGCGGCTACGTGACTTCGAAATTTCGTGTTTTCTTAACTTGGCTGCAGCGCGATACAGTCGTAGTAAAATGCAAAACTTTTTAAGCGGTACTGCTGGGCGGTAAAAAAAATCAATTATAACGTACAGTAAGCTTGTACGAGTCGCAACACTTTGCGCGTGTGTACGAGTTTTCCGCATTGCGCTGGGCAAAGAGAGAGAGAGAGAGAGGGACTACCGCAGTGTCATGTTACGATCGTGTAAACGATAAAAAAAAAGGAACAGCGAAAACCCAAAACGCATGGCTGATCAGACGCGTGGTGTTTATTTTCAGATTAATACGGTTAATTTAGAAGCGCTAGCTAGAAACATAGACCCCTCGCAATTGCCCGTGGAGCTGGATGGATCGCTTCAGTACGATCATGGCCAGTGGATCGACATTCGTTTAGCTGTAGAAGAATTTACTTGGCAGGCTACCGACATGCTTGATAGGCTCGATGACCTCCAAGAGGATCTAAGCCGTAACGACTTTGCCGACGACGCCAGCGGCGCCAAACACGGCATCGATTTACACAACGAAATGAAAAAAAAAATCCTCAGCGTAACTGTCGACGGTAAGCTTCGTTGTTGATTCGCTTCACGCGAACGCGAGTGCCATTAGTTCACGTGTCACAGTGCTTTTTTGTTTTTTTTTTGCCTATTCAACAGATATCGGAGCACTAGGAAATCGATTGCTGCAACGTTTCAACATCAACATCAACGGTGGCGAAAGCAGCAGTAGCTTGGAATCCGGTGCTACTGGTGGATCCGAGTCAGACGGACGAGATGTCGCCAATCTCGTTCTTCAACATCTGGAATCCGTCAACGCCGCTCAGCAACATCTGCTGCAGCTTTGGCACATAAAAAAGCTCAAGCTCGAGCAGTGTTTTCAGCTAAGGATGTTTGAGCAAGACTGCGAGAAAATGTTCGAGTGGATCTGTCGCAATCGAGAAAATTTCCTCTCCAACTATGTCGAGATTGGACGCTCTTATCAACTTGGTGAGTTATCTGCTATAGGCAGCGACTGTTTAAAGTTTTCTGCGATATAACAAAGACGCTATTTATTCATGATTTCGAAACAGCAAAAGGTCTGCAAGAGGACCACAAGCACTTCGCCGTGAATTCCATGAACATGTACGTAAACATTAACAAAATCTTGACGATGGCCAGTCGCCTTCTGGAATCGCAGCATTACGCGGCGGGTCACGTGCGTGCCGTGGCTGGCCGACTGGACCGAGCCTGGAAAGAATTTGCCGCTGGCTTGGACGAGCGCACGGCCGTTCTGCAGCTCAGCGTCGTCTTCCATCACAAAGCTGAGCAGTACGTCGACAACGTCTCGGGCTGGAGCCAGGCCTGCGATGCCACCAACTTGCCGCAGGAAATTCCTGTACTCGAATCTTGCATACGCCAGCATCAGTCACTTTACGAAGCTATGTGCCAGGCGTACACTGAGGTAAGATCTTCTTCGCTATCTTCGTGCTTCTAACATAAGTAAATTTCACTTATAAGAAAATGAGTTTACTTCGTTCGATAGCGCGTGTAATAAGTCTTGAGAGAACCTCGGTAAGTTTTAAGAGGAGTCTCCACTTTTACGCCTACGAAATTTTCTTGTCGGTTATTTTTTTCACATCGTTGATGCGTAAATGAAAAAGTTGATTATTCTAAAACATATTCAATTACGTTCCTACAGGTTTATAATGCATATCAGTCGCTATTGAGTGGACTAGGCAAGATGTTGCAAGTTTGTCACAGCGCGAACGCAGTCATTGGCTCGTCAGAAGAATACGTACGAGTTTACATTATTGAACTTTTTTTTTTAAAACCTCAAATCGTTTCGGCTATTAGAGAGCAAAATATTCGAAATGAACAAAACATGGATCGATAAAATTGCTAACATGGTGCCTGGGTTCTAATCTAAAAATATTGCATCGTTTACAAATAATATTTCAAATTTCGTTGTAAAGTAAATCGAATATTAACCATCGAAAACATAGATTACTAAACTCATATTATTTCAGGTTTAATAATTAAAATAATATAGTTTTTATTAGGTGCGCAATTAAACCATAGTGTAAAAAGGTTATGATTTTCCGAAAATTTTTATCCATTTTTTGTTTAAGGGGATGATTAATAATAATATTTCAGACTGGAAATTACAGAAATGGATGAATTGCTTGGGAATCAAAGACTAGTGTAATTGAGGATTGAAGAAATAGTTTAATATACTACTTTAAAAATACTCAATTACGCATCATATTGTTGATATAATAATGCTTAACGAAAGCAAGTCTTGAAAAAAGACATTAGTGCAAAGCGCCGTATGAAAATTAAAGAAAAATTACCAGTATCCGTTTAGTAGACATACCTTACATAATTTGAAGATAATCTTCCGACTCTTGAAATAATTAAATTCAATGTACATGCATATTACAAAAAAATTCTCATACTCTGACTTGTGTAGAAGGTGTCTACTATGCTGGTACTGGAATGTGTATTATGAAAGTGCACACACATACATACTTATATATAATACATACACATTAGACTGACAATAAAAATTTTTTTTTTTTCAAATCAACAGGATGGCCCCTCAAAAGTTTCAAGCCCCCCAAAAAAATGAGCTCTACCAAATTTCAGCTCATATGGTTGAAAAAAACCCGTGCCACAAGACGGGTGTTGATTAACTTCGAATTAACTGGAAAATTCATTTTCTCGTATTATACGCGTACGAGTTTCCCATTTAATTTAATGTTAATCAACACCCGTCTTGTGGCACGGGTTTTTTTCAACCATATGAGCTGAAATTTGGTAGAGCTCATTTTTTTGGGGCTTTAAAACTTTTGAGGGGCCGTCCCGTCGTTTAAAAAAAATTTTTTTTATTGTCAGTCTAATACACATAGTAATAATCTTTTATTATAATACATAATGACACTTGTGATGGTTGGCACATGGCATGTATATCTCACTCTATAGGTGCATAGTACGAGTAAGAAGCTGCTTTACCAGCTGGATCATCTCGTGCAAGTTTGTAACCAACCCCAGGGAATAGACCACGTGGCGAGAAAACACGTACGTCTACTTGACAAAAAAAAAGATCAGAGAAAAGAACTGCATGCAGAATTATGTTCTCTCTCACTTTTGTTTGTGTGTGTGTGCTACTACTGCTTCAAACTGTCAACTTTTTTATATTTTCTTTCCACGAAAAAAAGTCCGTAGAAAAATTATTATAATTAGCGAGTATTATATATATATATTACGGTGTGCGAAGGTATATCATGTGTATATTTTGTTGCTGACACATGCTGAAACAGTCGATTAATAGCGTCTGTCATTACCACCGCAACCATGCTGTATTAATTAGCTGTAGCAGTGCATTGTTGACCATTTGCTTCATTTCATTAGCTGTACACATAGCTAAGCAATGTTTACTGTTATTGAATTGCAGTTTTTCTGCATATGCATAAATCTTTGTACAATATATATAATACTTAAGTGTATTTTTACGTTGGCCTGTAAATATAGTTTGTATTGGTTGTTAAATAGCTCGGGGTCTTTTTATTACATAGTTGCTTCATAGGTGCTAGCATACTCGCTACGGTTGTAGTATTTTATTCTCTCTCTCTCTCTCTCTTTCTATCTCTTTGAGCTCTTGCGCACGGTTTGCGTGTAATGGGAAGTGAGTATGCATTTAAACTTGCAACGTGCAAAACTGCCTTTCAGAAAGAAAAAAAGTCAGAGAACGCGACATTCGACCTACTTGTGCGAATGCTCTGGGTTTTAGCTTTTTTGGCAGATAGGTGCTAGATTCATAAGCTTGACAAAAAATTTTTCCTTGTTATTAGTTACTCGAAAATTATTCACTCTTACTTTTTTACTTATTTTATCATATTTCAAGTTTTGTTTACTCCGATGATTAATGAACACTTTTAATATTTTAAATTTCTATTTTACTGTGTTCTTATTTATGAGTTGTGTTTACTTTTCAAACATCAATAAATTTTAAATTCCTAATTTTTATGATTCTTTTTTTTCATAGAGTTTATTTTCATTCTATAAAAAAGCTCCGTTTTTCTATTATATAATATCATTAAAAATATGATGCACGTCAGCACACTCATTTTTGTCTTGTCTTTTGTATCTCATCAAACTTTTTCTCACTCGTCTGGTGAAAGTATCGATTTTAAAAGTTGTATACACTCTTCTTACTTTAGTCTTGTTTTTAGTTTGAAAACTTATTAATTAGAAAAGTCGCAATGACATCTGGTAATTTTACTAAAAACTTATATTCTACTAAAAATTTAATTAAATACTAATTGGCTCGCTAATGAAATAACTGTACATTGTACAACTCTAAAGCATGCATGTAACGTAGGTTTATGAATTTGATATTAATTTTTTTTTAAATTTTTACAATAATTGCCTCAAGATTTAATAAAATTTTGAAAATTGTTTCTTTTTTTCCTTTAAAGTAAATTTTATAAGCATGAAAAAATAATTAAAATATTATAAATTAAAAATCAATCCTTAAGGCAATCTTATTGTAATATATAAATTTTATTGAGCATGGCTAAGGTCAGTAAAGCAATACTAATGTCACACCTGTTTTAATTCCACAAAAACAAAAAAACGACGACGACAACCATGGCGTGAAACAACAGAGTCAAGACGGCCGCGTGATGGATGGCCGAGGCGGCATAACTGGCAATCCAGCAGCCGATTACAGCGAAGGTGCCTCGCACGTTTTAGCCGTCATTCATCAGATTCTCGGACATCATCGGGCACTCGAAGCTCGCTGGCATGCTCGGAAAATAAAGTTGCACCAACGGTTGGGGCTCAGGTATGCGCTGAATACATTTCAAAGTACTAGTAAATGCATTTTCATCTAATTTATCAAATTTAGACGCTTTATATGAAGGCTACATCATTTTCAATAATTATGTTTAAATTTTTCGTGCTCCCGTTTTTTATGTTCTTAGTTTCCGGGAGACTAAAATTATTAATTATAAATGATGCTCAAATAAATTTCATTTAGAGACTTGACTTTGCTGTAAATACTTTAACGTAAAAGGAAACCTTTAAATATGCTTAGGATAGAGTAGTACATACACTCGTTCACATTGACACACACAAATTATGTCGTGAAAAATCGATAACGCGTGTAGAACAGAAGGAAGGCCATCCGTCTGTCCGACTTCCCTACTATGTAAGTGTCTTGGAGATCAGCCGCCCCCTCACATTATTTTGATACTTGCTGCGTTCCTGATTGATCATGACTTTATTCGCACAGTCAAACCAACAAATTAATGTGGCTTGCAGCGCTTGATTCATATTGCTGATCCGTCTGTCTTTTGCAGATTATTTCAAGAAGATGTAAAACAGGTGCTCGAGTGGCTGACCAATCACGGCGAAGCCTTCATCCGCAAAAATACGGGAGTTGGTCGGAACTTGCAGAAGGCTCGAGTCTACCAGAAGAGCCACGAGCACTTTGAGAACGTAGCCCAGAACACGTATACGAATGCGTCGAAATTACTCAGTGCCGCCGAGGAGTTGGCGCACACAGGCGAGTGTGCCCCCGATGAAATTTACGCCGTTGCCCAGGAGCTCGAGGCTCATGTAAGCAGTTTCGCCGCCAGAGTCGAGCAGCGCAGAAGAAGATTGGATCTTGCCGTAGTTTTTTACACCCACGAAAAAGAGGTACGTGAAAACACACTCCTATATGGGTGACACTTATTTTTATTGGTATGCATTAGCGGGGGATTAAAAATCGTTACCGTGTTCAAGGTGATAATATCCAACTTTTCTATTAGTCTGGCATCGACGCGTTACACGGCCATTCCAAACTCTCTTTTATTTTAACGGATTCAGTCGAAAGAGCACAAAACTCTGTCGAGCATCCATAATAGTACTAGACCGGCAAAGTTTTTCGCTGTGCCTGCCGACCCGATGTATACGGCCTCTGCGCCGTCTTTATATTGCACTTTTCGCTGCAGCATATAAATATGATAACAAAGTTTCAATCGGTGTATCTTTCACTTGGCAGTTATCCGGATGGGTGGATGAGCTACGCCAGGAGTTACAGCAGAACGAGATCGCGGAGAGTCTTGAAACTGCTGAGCGCCTATTAGAGCAATGCGCGCAGCACAGAAGCTCGTGTCTCGAAGCCTGCGCATCGACCATAGCCCAGGGCGAGGCTCTACTACAAGAGCTGCGAGAATCTACCGAAATGCCCGACACTACTGGCTCGGTAAGTGCAGCATTCTTGGAAAATGCCGACGAGGTAAGAGCAGTAGTAGCTGCACATTGTTTCCTTACTTTGTGCACATACGTGTATGCTACCGACACTCGTCTTGACACTCGCAAGACATGACTGTGCACTCGCTCAAATGTCTCCAGGCTTGTTTCTCCGCTCCAAATACTTTTTACCAGTATCGTTTTATTTTTATCTACAGTGCATCACTAGTAAAAGATTTTTTTATTCAACTTGTATCAAAAACAACTTGTTACCGAACCTTTTTAACTCAAATTTATAATACGATTATAACATTTTCTAAACCTCGATGAAAACGAAACGATACGTTTAAAAGTACTATTCAGTTTTTATAAATATTCAACTGATTTAACTTTGACTTATTTTTTCCCAGATCGCTGCAGTTGAAGCAGCCTTAGACAGACTCGCTGGTCGACGACAAGAACTCGAGGAACTTTGGGCAACGAGGAAGCTTCGATTTGAACTTTGTCTAAGACTTAGAGTTTTCGAGCGCGATGCGTTAGAAGTCAGCGGTCAGTTGGAAATGTGGGCAGAAGAAATGCAAACAGCACCTCGTGATGGTTCACCAGATCAATTATTACGAGCTCACAACGATAGTGTGCTTCATATACAGAACACTGCATTTCAAGTTATGCAGCAAGGGCAAGAGCTAGCTCAGGTATGAACAAATCATTTGTTTTCTTCCTATTTTATTCATTCAATGTTCTTGATCTGAAATATTGTATTTACTCTTTAATTATTCAGGTACTCGAACAAGCTGGAGTTTGTATTATGGCTGATGGACAACATACAGCCGCTAATCGAGTTCAAATTCTATTAGAATTTTTGAATGAACGAGAAATGGATGCCGAAGAATTAGCTGAAATGCGTCGTCAACGTCTTGAGCAATCTGCTCAGCTTTTACAATTACAGCAAGACGCGACTCATGTGGCTAACTGGATAAGAAATGGAGAACAAATGTTGCTAGCGTCTTTACGAATACCTGAAAATTTACAAGATGCCGAGCAGTTAAGACATGAACACGAACAGTTCCAAGTTGCCATTGAAAAAACTCATACATCAGCTGTACAGGTGAATTTAAAATTTAATTATATACCACACCAACGAGAATGCTACAAAATGGTATTTTACTTTACATACATTGATTCATCAATAGAAGATTTAACCTTATTCTTTTTTAGGTAAAACACCGAGCAGATGCTCTAATAAGCGCAAATCATTACGATCCCAAAAGTATTAGAGAAGTAGCTGAGGATGTAACTAAACGATGGCAACAATTAGTCACCTGTGCTGAAGAGCGCCATAAACTTGTCACGGCCAGTATTAATTTCTACAAGACTGCTGAACAGGTGCGATCTGTGCTTGATAGTCTAGAACGCGAGTACAAACGCGACGAAGACTGGTGTATGGGTGGTGAAAAAGCCGCTCAGGTACCAACTCTCGTTAACAAGCATCAAGAGCAAAAAGAGGCATTCCTCAAAGCATGCACTCTCGTCAGACGAACCGCCGAGACATTCCTTAAGTACACTAATCGTAGTTTACAGTTCTACAGTTATCAGATTACCAGTACTAGTTCAGAAAGTAAAGTTAAATGTGAGTTTATTGATATTTATACTTTATTAATTTTTTGTTCACTAAAATTATGAACTTTAACATTGTTATTTTCATTCTTTTTTGTTGATATAAAGGTATTTTGGAAGAGCTACTATGTAAGGAGAATAAGGTGCTTGACAATTGGACGCAGCGGAAAAAACGCCTCGACCAGTGTCATCAATATGTATTATTTGAACGCAGTGCTAAGCAAGCTCTTGAGTGGATCAGTGAGACTGGTGAATTATATCTTGCCACCCACGCTAGTGCTGGCCGCAATAGAGCTGAAAATGAGCAGTTGTTGCTTGAACATAACGAATTCAAGGGATCAGCTAAGGTAATATTTGAATATACATTTTTTAATTTAGAATGTATTTTTAATTGGCAAAAAATTAATGAATTGAAAAAATCGTCATTACTGTTGCGTATAAGGAAATAAAATTTCATTTTCTAACTTCAGTAGTTTTGCGAAGGCTATTTATACGTTCTAAAAACTGAACAATTTTTATTCTTTGCGTTGTGTAATTTGTATAAAATTGGAACGGAATAAATCGAACAAATAGAAACATTTATAATATACCCATCGATACGATTAATTTTTGAGTGTATTATTAAAATTCTTGTTATGGTATAAAACTAATATTCACATAAAATATTTACTGAACACAAAATTTTCATATTTCAGGAAACGCGAGAAAGAGTAAAATTACTCATACAACTTGCCGACAATTTAGTTGAGAAAGGTCATGCACATGCAGCAGCAATCAAACAATCTGTTGCAGAAGTAGATCAAAGGTACAAAGATTTTAGCATGCGATTAGACTGCTACAAAACTTCAATCGAAGACGATGTAGAAGTACAGTCAGATGAGGGTCCAAAAGAAATAACTATAGATAGAAATTCAGATCCTCTCCTAGAAGACAAAATTAAAGGCAAGGATCTAAAGGAACTGAATGAAGAAAAACGCAAGTCTGCTAGGCGTAAAGAGTAAGTGACACATTTTTTTATAAATAAAATATTCTAAACTTACAATGAAATTTTATCATTTCATTTTATAAACAGATTTATTATGGCCGAGCTTTTACAAACAGAAAGAACGTATGTTAAGGATTTAGAAACTTGCATTAGATGTTTTCTAGAAGAAACGAAAAATGGTAAAAATAATGTACCGTCAGGCCTTCAAGGACGTGAATCAATAATATTTAGCAATATGAAAGAAATCTATAAGTTCCATAATGATATTTTTCTTCGTGAACTCGAAAAATATGAAACAATGCCTGAAGATGTTGGTCATTGTTTTGTTACTTGGGTAAGCAAAACGTCATATTGAATTTAAAAAATTTTTGAAACTTTTTTTTTTACATTTAATTTTTTAGGCTGCCAAATTCGATATGTATGTGACGTACTGTAAAAATAAGCCAGAAAGCAATCAATTATTAGTTGAGCACGGAGGAAATTGGTTTGAAGACTTACAAAGAAAGCACAAAGTCGAACACCCGATCGCTGCTTATTTAATTAAACCTGTGCAGAGAATCACGAAGTATCAACTGTTACTCAAAGATCTTCAGGTAAAATTTTAATAATAATGTAATGTTAATAAGTTATGATTCATTATATTGCATCATTCAAATCGATTAATGTTTCTTGTTATTTTTTAAAGAATATTAATTTGATAGAATGAAAATAATTTTAAAAAATCGATTGTTATTTACAAATTGCTTTTGCTTGAAATTAATAATTCTATACGTGTTTAAAAAATTCCATGAACAACTAAAATAACTATTCTTTCCACTAGGCGTGCTGCCAGGAAGGTCAAGGTGAAATAAAAGATGGTCTCGAAGTAATGCTGAATGTGCCTAAAAAAGCAAACGATGCCTTACACTTGAGTCTTCTAGAAGGCTGCGATGTCAGTATAGATGCCCTTGGGGATGTAGTTTTACAGGATCCCTTTACAGTCTGGGATCCCAAACAGTTGATTAGAAAAGGCCGAGAGCGACATATTTTCTTGTTTGAGCTTTATTTACTATTCAGCAAAGAAGTTCGTGACTCTAGTGGCAAAGTTAGTGACCCGTAACTACTCTATTCAATGAATAAAATCAAATGTAAAACTATTTAAACAACCTGTAATTCCATTTATTAGGTGAAATACATTTATAAAAGTCGATTAATGACATCGGAATTGGGCGTGACTGAGCACATCGAGGGAGATGAGTGTAAATTTGCTGTCTGGACCGGCAGAGCACCGACGAACGACACACGCGTTGTTTTACGTGCCAATTCTCTAGAATCGAAACAGCAGTGGGTTAAACGACTGAGAGAAGTGATTCAAGAGACGTACTTTAGTCTTAGCATGCCGAAGAGTCCAGCTAAAAAGAGTTCGAGTCAACGATCGAGTCGTGATCTTGAGGAGTGCGCTTCGTTGAATGATAGCGTTGAAAACTTGGATAGAAATTCCCTTGCTTCATTTGGATCAACTAATACTACAGATTCGGATAAGGTGAGTTAACTTTATTTATCATAACTTACTTATATTATTATTATTATTATTATTATTATTATTATTATTATTATTATTATTATTATTATTATTATTATTATTATTATTATTTTGCTTATTAACGATTTAACATATTTATTAGGGTAAAGCAAAAAAAATGTTATCAGTTTTATCTGTAAAAAGTTACACAATGATGAGAGTAATTATCCCTCAAAAAGATTTTAAAATTAAACGCCCTTATGGAGGATGATTACTCTCGTCATTGTGAAATTTTTTACAGGTACAGCTGAACAATTTTTTTTATGCTCTATACTAATATTTATATAAATAAATTTTAGAACGTATGAAATGGAGAAGTTTGATTTTTTTCTCTGAATTTATTGATCGACCGTATTGATATAATTATTACTATTGGCAAAAATTGTTGCTAAAGCTGAGCGAGCAATTTATTTTTATAACTGTGATTAAATACTACACTTATATGAGTCATTTCATGTCAAGTCTCCTAGCGCGACACCCGCGCGGCATTATTAATCGAAATTGCTCAATTTGTAACTCGCCAGAAAAGCATCTAAATGCACCCAGAAAAAATATGTGCCATATGATTTTGATAGGAAATTTCCTCAGCTTTCCGATGATGAGGTCAGATTTTCCAAAATTTTCCATTTTCCCCGGAAAAACTTGACATAAACTTTCTAACTCAAATATATCAAAAACGGCATTTTTAAGATTTTTTTAAATAGTGCCGATCGAAAGCTGAGAAAATTTCCTATCGATATGCAAGTTTTCAGAGAGTACTTTTGATAATTACTCAATGAAATACAGCGACGAACGTGTAAAAACGTGAGATTTTGCGCCGCGCGGGGCACTGCGCGTGGGAACAGCTGCCGCACGGGCCGAAATGTCACGTTTTTACACGTTCGTCGCTGTATTTCATTGAATAATTATCAAAAGTACTCTCTAAAAACTTGCATATCGATCAAAAAATCTTAAAAATGCCGTTTATGAGATATTTGAGTTTGAAAGTTTATGTCAAGTTTTTCCGGGGAAAATGGAAAATTTTGGAAAATCTGACCTCATCATCGGAAAGCTGAGGAAATTTCCTATCAAAATCCTATGGCACATATTTTTTCTGATTGCTTTTAGGTGCTTTTCTGGCGAGTTACAAATTGAACAATTTCGATTAATAATGCCGCGCGGGCGCCGCGCTAGGAGACTTGACGTGAAATGACTCATATATGAAATGATAATTAATTTAATCAACTTACGTATATTATGTAAGTATGTATCATAAATATAAAACTTAAATTTTTATCTGAATTTAAACATATGAGTTCATGAGAACATGTCAATATAAAATGGAAAAGATGACCAACAAATAAACGTATAAAGAGTTGAGTGTTTGCTTCATAGTTTCAAGATTTCCATCTTCAACCCTTTAAATTTACTTTGTATATGAGATGGAAACTATAATTGTAGGAATTTTTTTACAATTTTCTGAAAAATTCACGCATGAAAAAAATGGCAATTACTTATTTTAAATCATCGTAGAAATACAGATAATAACTATTTTGGTAAAAAAAAAACTCATAGGAAGGTATGAATTGCACCAATAACCCTTAGAATCAATTCAGCGATTTGATGGACCTCTATAAACAATACATTGTATTTTTAGGTAAAGTATCATGGCCTATCAATTTTGTAAAGAAAATTTAAACAACATCGTACCAGTTAAACAGTTAATTATAATATTATAAAATTAGTTTGCGGAAAAATTTTAATAATTCAAATTCAAATTTATGAGGGCCTTAAAGTATCTACTTATAACAATGTAAAATTAAACCAATTAGTAAATATGATCATTTTTAAATACGTAGATCGGTATTTCATATATGTTTGGAATATCTTATCACCTGTAAATTCCAATTAATTCCAAACTAGTCACCCTCATTGGAGCTTATTTTGAAATTTCGAGCGAAATTCTAGTATGCGTGTAATTATACATGAATTTGTATGTATTTGCATGATCTGTGCAAGCTCTTGACGCAAAATTTCAAACAGCATCAGTTAGTTCTTTGGCCATGTATTATACAAAAAAGTTTTAAATTCTTTCAAATTGAGGAATCGAACCACCGAAAATTCGCTCATGTTTTATAAAAACAGAGAAATTTTAGTTCAATAAAATTGACCGAATGAAACGATAAAATCAATCGAATCGATAAGGAAATCCAATGGGCAAAGCTACTGGCGATACGTATGCTCGATTATGCCAAGCCAAGGCAGCGGAATTACGAGGATAGCCGCGAGCCTCCGATACAAATGATAGAAATATCAGTGGGAGAGTTATAGCGAGCATAATCAGCATCAGTTACAGTGGCAGCAGAAGTAAGAGCTGCGGCAGCACATGAAGCTTGCGAGCTTGCGCTTGCGCGCTTACGCACGTACCTTCTTGACCGCCCGTTCAATCCATTTAGAGAAGCTCGGTGGAATCTCCATCTCGTTCTCATGACCAAATATTATTCTATTCGTCCGAATTATCTGTGGAGCTTGAGAGGCATATACACAATGATAGGCGTGCGTAGCACCCGGGTCATAAAACATGTAAGCTCTCGCTCTCCTACCTTTATCTATCTATCTCTCTTTCTCTCCCTCACCTACACACTCAACTTGTCTCTATACACAGGTAGACGAAATGCGTGCGTTAGCGCAGAGCGAGCTCACGAGCTTGCAAGCTCACGAGATTGAAGCGCATATATATAGGTAGGCGGGCGACGGTGACGACGACGACGACGGGGGTGGTGCGCTACACACTGCTGTTGGTGGGAGAAAGAGCGAGTGTGGGTCTCAGCCAGCTATCTCTAGCTGCAGCTGCAGCTGCCTTTCCACCAATACTCCAACGGCACCATCATCAGTACGGACGCGGCTCTCGAGCAGCGAGTTTCGCGCGCCGGACTCTCATCACGCTCTAGTCTCATCGTTTTAAACATTTTCACATTGTTTCTTCTTACTTTCTCAATGGACGTTAAACAAGCCATGCTCGCCTCTCTGCCAATTGTTCTTCTTACACACAAATCCTCATTTGCGAACAGCTTCTTATCAAACGCAAGTGTTTGAATGCGAGAGATGAATCAAATAATTCGTGCCGTCCTGTGTAATCCAAAGAAGTAGTAATTAATACGGGTAGTTATAATTGGTAGTACCTACGTAACAGTAGTAGCAGTACGAGTCGGTGTGCGTGAGATTGAACATGTCAAAGGTCAAGTAGAGAGAAGAGGCCACCAGGACATTGCTATCGCTACTGCCGCCACCACCGCCGCCTCCGCTACTGCTTCTGTTGCTGCTGCTGCTGCTGCTTTGAGCCATCTCTCAGAGGGCATGGCCAGGCTTAATCTTAACAGCTGATGACTGATCGTCCCTCATGTTGAGTATCGTTCCGTCTATCCACGAAAGTACATTGTATACGTTTGTTACTGTGCGTCAGCAGACAGCTCGAGAGAGATTGGATCAGCGCGTGGCAAGCAATAAACGTCCGAGTGCTCGCGAACCGCAATACAATTAACCTACACGCATCACGATTCAATTGTGATATTGAAGCATTAAATGTTCAATTAAAGTTACGAGTGTTGACTAAAAAAAAACTTGCAAAACAGGATTAAAGCTAAATGCAGTACGATGCTCTCATGTATAGAAAAAACTCACATTTTAGTGATAGTGTAGAAAAATCATATCATTCAGATGTAAAATGTATAACAGTACAAACGTCGTAAACATTTATTACTAGCGCCAAAGTTCCTACCACGAGATTTAACAAATGCGTACGTATCGTACGCAAATAGCTTCGCAAGTCTCCGAATGAATGACCGAGCTAGTGGCGTGCAAAAGCACTTCTTGCACAGATAAGGTGGCAGCAGAAGAAGCACAGCTACATGCGTCGCAAGCGTAATATACAGCTCATGAGCAATTTGTGTAATAAATGTACTATGTAAAATCTCTCTACCTACGCGAGCATGCGACAATACTGGCAGCTGCGGGTCGCTCATCGTGCCGCAATGCTCAGCGGACGGCTATAATTATATATATCATCTCTGTGTCGTGCCAGTGTTGATCTAGTGCCAAAAAGAGCCAAGCCACGGAGGGAGAGAAAACAAAAACAAAAAATAATCAACGCAGAAATATGATACCGACTGGGGCAAACATATTGGGCCTACTGGCAACGACATTTATGCCGTCGGTGAAATAGTCGATATAACTGGTGGACTGCATACGCACATGTCCCACATCCATTTATAGTGAGTGAATAAAAACGAAAAAAAAAACAATTAAACACGCCGCAATCATGACGTCGCCAGCTGGTAGCGGTAATAAACCAACTCAAGTGGCCGTCACGTTGGCGCAAAAGGCTAAGAGGAAGATTTCCTTGCCTTGGTTTAGGCAAACCTCCGTGACGCCACCTCATCCGGCTCTCTCCAGGCAGCACACCATCGACACGCCAGGATCTTTTCACGCTCACATGCTCCGGCTACAGCCCTCCAATTCCCAGGTATTTTCACGAACGCGCGCCATTAGTATTCCAGTTATCTCAAGAGGGATAGAGTGGGAGAAAACCTCTAAAGCTCGTCGTGATAAAGACCCGCTACGCCGTGAACGATGAATGCGATACGATTTACCTTGATTGTGCCTAGGATTATGAATTGATTAAAAACGCTGCTAAGAGAAGCGTCTTGTGTCTATAAGCAGTTGCTTAACTATGAGCTTATTGAAGTCAATGCACATTTTTAGGAACACGATCTTTAGTAGTCGGATTCTCAATATTATTTAAGTGACTCGTGTTTTCATGTTAAATTAATTGCGATTCCTCGATATTGTGTTTCGTTTTCTCTTTCTCTCATTTTCCAATTGTTTTTGCATATTTTTTCTTATATTCCCCCCAAGTTTTTGAATAATAAAATAATAAAAAATATGGACTGTCTATTTTAAGATTACACGAATGAAAAAAATAG